TGATGGAAGAGTCACCTTCACGACCTCGCCATCTCACACCCTCATTATACTGCACCCCGCAAAGAGGTGACACTCCAGGCTCGGACCTAAAGGACAGCTCGTTATATTTTAGGGATTCAAGATAAAACCTCTCATCTGAAAGGATCAGAGGAATCGAGTTACCCGATCTCCACGTGTGTGTGTGTGTGTGCGCTTTGTTGCACGTCATCAGACTCGGATCAGTTTCAATGGCGCAGGCACAACCAAAAAGCTGTTATGCACACCCACAGGCAGCGACATACACACTTTGTACCTTTGTACCGAGGGACACCTTTGCAGACCTGCCCACCCAGAAAACCCAGTGTCCTTCGTGTACACACACACACCGGATATTATTTTACAATAACATGCCATTCTGCGCCTCACTCTGAGTCACCTCTACAACAATGTGGCTCTGTAAACTCCCCGTACTAAATTACAACGTACATGCGTGCGCAGACGCAAACAGCTGCCGAACAGCGTGGGTCAATCCATGCGCCACCCTGCACACACCCTGCTGCATTCTCAGCGCGAATTATGATACCAGTTTGAAAAAAAGACCCCTGTGACGTGTGTGTTTGTGAGCATTTCGAAGTAAATAGTTTGAAGGTAAAACATCACGTCTCATCTTTAAAAAGAATAGATGCTATTTCCGATGCACATTTCAAATTTGTTTAATCCATAGTGCGGTTTGAAGCAATTCAAATGATGTCATGTAGTGTACATGTATGGTATGCATGCCTCTGCAAGTCACTTGGTGCGTTCCGCAGAGATAGTAACTGTTGTGTTTTCCCCCTCATGTGTAATGCAACACAGCCGGCAACTATTAACCTTCTAAGCAGGAATGTGGGAGGTCCCACAAGAATTCCAATAAAAAGCAGCAGCGTGAGCGAGTGTGTGTGTGTGTACACTGTGTATATGTACTCACACACATGTTGGCCAAAGCGTTACAGTTATCTGTCAACAGTCCAGTCTTTTCCAGACATGCAGACCCGCCCCATTACCATCCATGACCAATACCAAACAGTCAAAACGGGGTCATGTTGTGGCTAAAACCGATGGCCTCGCGGTAAAACTAGGCCTGACTCGCAACGCAGACACAAACACACAACGGCCTCAGGGCACAGTTAGTTCAGCTGCTGTGTTACCCGCGTAAACAAAGTACATTTTAATTGGAGCTCTTATAGAGTCGAACATCGCAACCGTGTAGCTGATCAAACAGGTCTCAGGGGACAACGATCTGTAGGTTTTAATGGCCAGACCTGAGGTTAATGGGAGGGTCCCTGGGGTGGGAAGGAGGGGCAGACAAGCCACTAACACCGCTGGACAGTGGTCAGAAGCATCGGGGCTGCCAAGGGTAATGCCGGCTGGCTGCGGTCTCCCCGGTCAAGGGCGGCACAGGACCGATGGTGGGGAGGTCCATTAGTGTCGACTGGCTGAGCACATTGTTCCCTTTGGACACATTCCTGGCTAAATACAGACATTTCCACAAGTGAAGGCCCCCGTCTACCACAAGTCATTTGCCTTTGGGAACAACGGTTGGGACAAGGAAAAGTGGGCCTTGCTGCCTCGGCAATGGGAATGCTCATTTATGGATTTTAGAAAGTCCATTTCTTTAATATCCACCGTAATATTCAATAGTATACCACGACTAATAACTTTACTACCCAAAATCTAGTAAGTGTTACTACAGTGTAAATGTTAGCCTATTGTTTAATAAGCAAATATGTTTTGCATTTTGAAATAGCTGATATGAATACAACAGCGTTCAAAGTAGATCTTTGGCAAGTGGGCTCAATTTGCCAGCTTTTTCCACACAGCAGATAACCATTTCTGCAATAGAACACCATTGCATTTTGGCTTAAAGCATGTTGTCCGAGTCTGATCACAGCAGGGCACAGTCTTGTAAACTAGGCCGTAAAACGATATTGGGATAATGGGAGCTGGTGGTTTTGCTGTGGTCAGCACTGCCAGGGACTTTTCACAGATAAGGCTAATCACTGCGCTTATCACCACAGTGCTTGTGGGTCGAGATTGAAAAGCATATGCTGGCTATCGCACACATAAACCCACACAGGGAGATTTTCCCTCTCAATTTCTTGTTCACAAGCTACCCTTTTGTCTCCTGTCACGTCATAGGGCAGGACTGCGTCTGAATAAATGGTCAAATGGCCCCAAAGCATGTCAATCCCTCTGGGTAAGCAGCACAAAACAATCATCATTAAACTCTGTTGTTGAATGACTGATGAAAAAATAGACTGGGATTTCCACATTTACCTCACTTTTTATTTCACTCGCCTTCACACACACACACACACACACACACATATTTCACATGCATAGAGAAGTGCGGTCTCTTCACTTGTCAAAGGCACCACCAAACTATGAGCTACTCCGCACCATGAGTACAATGAGAGGTCCCTGGCCCCACAAGTCCACTGACAAACAGCCCCGAGGCCTGCCCACTCCCACCATTGTCCCATACTCACTCACACACACACACACACACACACACACACACACACACACACACAGACAGACAATAGCCACTCGAGGGCCAGGGGTCCCACTAGGCAATTCCATCACACAAAGACACACACCAGTCCTTATCCCGTAAGAGAGAGAGAAGAATGACAGCGGTGGCAGCAAAAAAATTGTTACTCCTGGGGAGGGGTGGTCAAAAATGGATGAAGCTCAAAGTAGTGTGTGGTGTGTGTGGGAGTGTAGATAACATGTTATAGTGAGAGAGAGACAAACGGCAGAAGAGTTATTATAGCAAATGTATGTCCTTATCACAGGCGCATAATCAATCATTAGCGCGGCCTTTCAGGTAACCGTCAAAAGTTGACACGTTCCTACACTCTACCTCTTACCAGTACCCGGACTACATCGAACACCAGCTAAACAAAAGCGATTAGATACAAATGAAACAAAAACAAGAGAGAAAAAAAATACTTTGCAAGACCAGAAAACCAACAGAAAGCTGTCAGCAGCAACAGATGTAGCTGTAACCCGCTACTTCCTGTCTCATCACATCAATTCTCCATGCTAATCCTATCCTATCATCTATGCAGACTAATGAAGTGGAGGTAGAAAACAGAAGTGCAAGGGAAGTGCCCGGCAAAGGTGAGAAATGAGGTGAGCTCCACAGAGGCAGTTTATCATATGGGACATAACCCTATATCACCAAGCATAACAGGAAGCTTTGCTATATCCTTCTTCGTTCAAGGACTACTTTCAGACAACAAGACGAGATCCCCACAAGTGAAGGGTTAAAAATGGTGTCCTGATGGCAACTGCAGACACGGCAGGAGATCAGGCCGTTAAGGGAAGCTCTGCGGATTAACTTGTCCCATAATGCAGCTATTTAAAGGTGCTGTTATACAATCTGATTTGTTGTTATATAATTATTATTATATTATATTATTATATGTGTTATTTATAATATATTTGCTAGTTCCAGTTTATTTAATGTTTCATTGTCATAAATTAAAGTATACTTTGCAAAATGATTATCCAGTATATCTTTGGACTTTTAACAGTCACCTGTGGCGCAGGAAGTTTTGAAGGGGATTTGTCACTGCATTCAGACTTATTATGGACTAAATGATTGATCAATTAATTGATTTGAAATGTTTTTTGCAGTCCAAATAGAAAATTGGAAACTTGGGAGACAAAATCTATTGAAAAAAAAAACCCAAGACCCAAGTCTCCTCAACCTGAGTGAAAAGCTGAATAGGACCGACGGGACAGCAGCTCACACTGAACACCAATCGCACTGTAGGTCCAGTTAACGTTCTTTACTCAATAGATGTAAACACAAGCTAAGCACGATCCATTATTATTATCTTCCCCAGAGGTATCTGCTGCACGCGGAGCTCCTTGTAATAAAGGGCTACGTGGTGGGATGTGGTGTGATGTCATGGCAGCCTCCTAGGGGCTGTGTGGCTGTGTGTGTGTGTGTGTGTGTGTGTGTGTGTGTGTGTGTGTGTGTGTGTGTGTGTGTGTAGGAATGTGGAGGGTTGAGGGGCTGAGACTGCGTGCAGCGGGAGTCAGGAGGGGACAGGGTGGGGGAAGGGAGGGGAACGTCCCAAGTGGAAAAGGGTCCCACACAGTTTGTCCGTCACTCATACCGCCCCACGCCAAATGCTTAACAGTAAGTAGCTACTTAGGAAGTCATCGCATTGTTCCCACAGGAGGGACAAATACTACTTGAATTGTTGTATACTGTATCCACTGGGTCTCTTGAGATCAAAGTAACCTTAAATCGAATCATGTCAACTCATTCAAATCGTTGTCAGGAACTTTATGACTGATAGCTGGCAAAACAACTAGATATTACTCCCACTCCTTTTTTGAAGAAAGGGCGCACGAGCAAAGAGTAGCAACGAACTTATCCAAGCATTTCAGGATTTAGACGCGCGCGCGCACAGACTTCAGCTGATTACTAGACCCCCCCCCCCCCCCCCATGCTCTCACTTCAATATGCTGACGGGAAATGATCATTAATATCAACCCGACTGGATCCGATCCCCTCAACACCACCAGCAGGAGCGGGGGGGTGCGAGGACTCCTCGGTGTTTTCCTGCGGACGGTGGCGGAGGTGAAGTGAGGGTTGTCAGGGCGACACGGAGGATGTCGTCGTAACAACTTATTTACAGTCGTTTTAAACCACTTCCTCTTGAACAGGAATACAGTACTAAACACGCAGCAGGTTTGAGTATCTTATCTGAAAACCACGGACCATTGATCCGGAGAGCAGCCAAAAAAAATCAACAAGTCTTTTTTTAGCGTGCGTGTGTTTGTTTTTTGATTGGAAGCGGACGCTGGTAACTATCCGACTTGTTGATTAATCAGCGACGCAGTTACTTGTTAGCTCTGCCGACAACAAAACCGAGGCGAGTAAACAGAGAATAAGAAGAAAAACATTAAATTTAAATTTAAATAGACAATAGTGGGTAGAAATGCACAGCCGAACTTACCATTGTCTCCAGGTGTCTTCATGTCTTCTGCGTGAGCGTCAGGCTACTCAGCCGGGCAGCGCGCGCGCTAAAGTTGGCCAAAAAACACGTTGAAATCCACAAAGTTGCTTGTGGGAAAGGACCCCCCCACACACACAGACACACTCCACCGCCGACCCCCACACCTCTGGTTTTCTGTAAACGTAGGTGAAGATAAACTTTTAGCGGCTGGTTCTTCAGCTCACTCCCCCCCTCCGCCCCCTCCGGGGGCCGTCGCGCTGTCCCGGCCCGTCTCCTTCGGCTCTCCGCCGGCCGAACCGAGCCGTTCGAACGGGGCTCCGCTTCTTCACCGAACCGCGCGGTCCCGACGCCTCGCCGCCACGACCCGTGACCACCGAGCGTTTGAATCGGCTTGAGTTGCAGCCGAAAAGAAAAAACGAAGCCAGCCGTCCCGACTCGTTCCAGCCAAAAAGCCCTTTTTTCCCTCTTTTTAACAAGTTGTTTCGCTAACTGCCGGGTGGCTGTTTACTCCGTCTCAACCGCATCCTCGTTGCCGTTTGACATCCCTCCGCCAGCCAAGCGTTTGTTCTGTGACAGAAACGAACGTTAAAGAGGAACCTCTCTTTCTTTACCGACTTTTTTTTAAGTCCTCCACTCTCGCACCATTCACTGCTACTCTTTCCTTCCCCCCCGCCCTCCCCGACGTAGAGTCTCTCCGTCCTCGAGGTGTCGTGTTTCGCTCGCTCTCTTCTGGACGGGCCCCGCCCACACTGACGGGGGAGAAGGGAGAGGGAGGGGGGGGGGGGCTAACGTGGCGAGTCACGCCCACTCACCACGAGCCCGGGGCCCGGGCTGGCGTCATTGCAGCACGCGGCGTTGCCCGGAGACCGCCTCAGCGCGCTGCCGTGGTGACGTCACAGTCGAATCCCACGATTCGAGCGGGGCGGCGCGGTGGTCGGTCTCTGCTCACGGTGTCCTTTTGCGTCAATCGGGGGTTACGGCTCTAATTGGGCTCTTTCATATCAGGATAATTACAATTATTATATGCGGTGAATAACACTGCAAACAGGAAATACATATTTACTCAGAATAATAGTAAAACCCTGTATTTAAAATCCACCTTAGATTCCGTTTTTTGTTCTACGCTGTGTAGCACATGTGTTTTTTGACTCGAGAATCTTCTGAAAACAAAGCCTGGCGAAAAGCCTGAATTTAAGATCTTTAATATATATTCAAAACAGAGGGGTCACGTGGAATCAATCCTCTGTGCATGCGTAGCTTTCTCTGTGGCCTCAGTTTGGACACAGTTGTTATGGGAGCCAGAGGTTATCACAAAAGTTTCCAAACTAGAAAAGTACTTGTTAAATTGAACACAAAGCTCTGTACTTTCCCCAGACATTGTGCTTTGGCTATTTTGCCAAATAAAGCCTCTTTGAATTCAAATATGCCTGTTTTCAAAACACAAGAATGTCCCTTTTTACTTCCTTTTTGTGGCTGGACATTCTTTATTTCAAGAAATCTTATCAAGGGAAAATGATTTGCTGCATTGGCAGCAATCATAATTGAGTAAAATTGGAAAATTAAGGTCGAGCACCAACAGCAGCCAACTCTTTTACCAATATTCGTATTTGTACAAATACGTAGATTAAACCAATGTAGCGTAAGGCATCTTTCACAGCGAGTCGAGAAAAAGACACACCAAAAGATTGTGGTTAATTTGAATATGAACCTGCATCCTGCATCTGTCGCTGGTTTCTCATGTAGCATTAACTCCCTTTTCCTCTTTTTGAAAAGAACATCTAACTGTATCCGGCCTTTAAACCACAATCAAACACACACTCACATGGACCCAGCCTTTGCATTGGCGTAATGCTGTGTGCACAGCCAATATCAGAGAGTTAAATTGACCCTGTGAGATTCCATTTTAACTCTAAGCTGGTGTTTATATTGTTCCAATCTTGTCACTGTTAAATCAACAAAAGTGTTAACAATTTAACTCAAAAACAAATCTGCTCAGTGTTAAATACACTGTACGTAGAGTTAAACCCAACACCAAGTGTGACACTGGTGTACAGTTACATTTCAAACCTATCAAAGAGTTAATTTAACTCTACTAAGTGTCGCAAATACATCTGCTCAGTGATAAATACACTCTATGTAGAGTTAAAATCCAAAGTCCTTGACACTGGATAATGACTCCAGCTCTTTCATACAATTGACTCTGTAACAGTTGAATCAACTATTTGCAGAGTAATTTCAACTCGGCATTTCAACACTTCAACACCGGAAAATTAACTCTCTGTTAATTTTGCTGTGTGTATGTGCATACTGAGTTCTCCAAAGCGCACATGACGTCCTTTTAATGCGATAAAAATCTTTTTCACCTGCCCAGATGTAGCATGGCCGCTTTGATTGTCACCTCAAACTCTCTCACCCTCCGCTTCCTCGCCATGTGGCGCTAATACGACGCCGTCACGCGCCATCGACGAGTGCTTATCAGTGGGTGAGGCGGCGTACATGGGAGGTGAAGTGAATCTCCTCTTGGGCCTCTTCTTGTACATTTTGGCACCTGGTGACACTGGAGGGAGGCTTTATGAGGGGCTTTTGTGTCTTTTTTTCTTTTGTCTTTGCCCCCTGTTTTGACATCAGCGATCCACACCGCTGTCCCGCCTTGTCAACAGGATAAGACAGCAGCAGTAAAACAAAGTAAACAAAGTCCTCCGGCTGTGGCGCCGTCCCCGTTTGGTGCGTGTGATTTACAAACTCTTTCCTCCACTGGCCATTCTCTGACAGGCTTCAGGAAACCCATTCTGCTCTGTCTGATAAGAAACTGGACCTAAAGAGAAGAGAAATGGGATGCTGAACCTTCACGTTCAGGGAAACAGCCGTCCCGTGTTCTTCTTCAGAGCAGGAAAAACAGACCGGGGGGGCCTTTTTCTCACGGGGCATGCTGCTGGGAACCAGATATATAGTTTCCGGGCATGCATCCTCCATATATCTATCATTTCTCTGCAGGTGAAGAGCTCCTCTGCGTCTCCCCAGCACTTCACACGGGGGGAGAAGAAATCAAAGAGGGGACAAGACCAACAGCTCCACAGGGAGGAAGAGGACGAGGGAGAAAAGAGAGATTCAGACACGAAGTGTAGAGAGGACAAACGGTTTCTCCTCCTCAATATTTCTGTACGTACCAATAACTTGGCTTGTCTGCGACTCGTGCGTCCCTGCTAAACTCACTCAGCACCTTCCCTCTGTCCTCCTCCTCCTCCTCCTCCTCCTCCTCGTCCACCTCCCTCACTCTGCTGATATTCCACCTCTTCTGTTGTCTCTCCCGCACGCCCTCAGTCTTTGGCTGCTACTCTGTCGTCTTTCACCACCCATCCATCCATATGTCCGTCCACCTTCTCTCACTCTCACACCTCTTCTATTCCTCCCACCGCTCCGTCCTCTGCCACCTCTCCATGCCTGCGTCTCTTTGCCTCCCTCGCAACCATATTCTCTCCTCAGGTCATTATTATATAAGCTACATGATTAAGGCGGATGGGATCACGAGTTGAAGGTGTGAGAACATTTTAAATATTTTTTGAAGCTATTTTGGCCACACGTGTTAGATCTCATTAATTGGGCCGATAAAACGATGAAGTTACACTTGTCCTCTAGTTTATGGTCACGTCTGTTCAGTGTGTTTCTTAACAGACGACACCTCTGCAGTTCTCTTTATATAAAACAATTAAAGGGGGTCTCATTAGCACGTGAAAGCTGATTGAATCAATTTTTGTTTGAAAAAAAATCCAAATTTTGATGTGCAACTCGTCGATACAGAAAAATGTCTTTCTGAAAGTGCCAGACTTTAGATTCCCGTTCCCAGCTTGTCTTATCTCACTTTTAAAGCAGACCTTTTGAATGGGAATTTCATTCTGTCTTTACTTTCCACTCATCTTTTTTCGAGAAACTCTTTGCAGCAGGGAGACAATTCACCTTTATACAGTCGTTAAAAAGCAGTATGTTTTGGAAGATACACTATCTGTGTCCAGGAAACGCCTGATTAGGTTGTGGACTTTTTCTGTGTTTTAATATTTGATATTTATTTGTATTGCTGTGTATGAGAAAAAAACAACATTTCAAATACGTCCAGTGACGTTTTTCCACATTTCCTTTCTTCTTAAATTGTCTCATATATTAGGCCATTAAATTCGACCCGGCTGGATCTCGGCGAGTGAACTTGATGATGTGTTTGACAATTAGAGTGTATCACAGAAGAGCCTTGTCCTATTGGTTCCACATCATCTGTAACTCCCTCTATCTCCCATCCCGCCCTTTTTCATCCCCTCTGTGCTTTATGTGACTCTGTCCGTTCCTAATCAGAATGACAGACAGACGCTCCGCAGATAAAGACAGAGAGAATGAAAGGGAGAGCGGAGATTTTGTCACTGGGGTGTTTGTGTGTAGTCGGGTGGGTGTGGGCCTGAACATCTCCAGATATCTCCCCTATAGATTGAAAGCCTTGCCCAACCCCCCATCCTCTCCACTCTTCATCACATTTGAGTTGATGGACGAGTTATCCCGATGAAGAATCGGCAATGTGACTGAATGCGGGGGTGAAGCAATCGCAACGTCACATTGATGTACAGTGGCTCAAGAGGGTCAAAAACCTAAGAAACCTTTTTATTATCCGCTGGTGCAACTGCATAGCACGCCATCCACTCAGCAGTGGTACACACACTGGTTTCCGCTGGTCTGTGCCTCTGCAACACAGATGGCTCGAGTCATTGTAATTACTGTGGACAATGGGTGTGGTAGCCCTCTAACCAGTGGCACCACAGGCAGTGCACGCGCACAAACACACTCACAAAAATACAATGCAGATATTCCAAGAACCGGATTTTATCAACTAGTGGAAACCAGGCAGGATTTTAATTCCTGGACGGGGCGTGGAACAACCACCAGAGGTGTAATATGTACATGCGGTGGGGCGATGATTCATGTCACTGATGTGAACAAAAGGGCGCGCACACACACACACTCAAACAGAGTTTTTACTCCCTCCTTCTTTGGCTATTTCCCATTCAATATTCGTTTTAAGTGCTCCAATTATCTTTGACTTTCAGCAAGGGATCTTACATAATCAACCTCTGACGGTATTGTATGAAACGCCTGCAAAGTTGTACCCTTGTTCAGCCTTAATTCCTCATGTGGAGGACCTTGACTGAGATGAAGAAGGTCTCACTCCTTGTGTGAAAAGAAGATGGGTGGATAGACTAAAAGGCGTGCAGGGTGAGAGCAGACCGGATGAAAGAAAAAGCCGGCAGCTGAGGGGACAACAAGTGCAGCGGGGTGGCGGTTAATGCCTCCCCCATTCACCCACACACACACACTCACCCCCCGACGTCACCCCTTTTCGCATAACAGCAAGAGCAAAAAAAAAACGACGGAGAAGGAAAGAGGAAAGGAGAGCAAAGCTGTGTCGAATAAGGATTGGGAGAAAGAGAGAGAGAGAGGGAATAAGAGAGTCAATGGGTTCTTTGTCATCAAAGAACTTGTTTATTTTCAAGCTCGCCCGTCCAACCGTCGTGAGACACGACCTTATATCACTCCCTCTGTCTCTCGGTATCACGTTTTCGCCCTTCTCCAAATGCGGTCAGAGGAGTTCGAAGTTGGGACCCGTCTCAAATTACAGCAAAACAAATTTGCAAAGTTAATCAACATTTTC